CAAAGTAATATAAAGAGCATATGTAAATTTATATGGAAGAGCGTCTAAGATAATCTTTTCTGATTCCAAACGAGAAGTAAAACGTTCTGAATAAAATAAAGATAGAGTTTGCCTATAGCACTTAATACCGCCAAATATTATTTCCATATAATACTCTTTATTGCAGCATTATTAATAAAAATAATTTAAATAACCATTCAAGACCAATCAGTGCATCAAGAAAAGTTACAGTAAAAATAATGAGCATCCAGACAGAAAAGACTACTTGTTATCGGAGCTGACGGCCCGATCATCTCCAGGCAAGCCAGCCTGGTCAGGAGGAGATTTATCAGTTCCAATCCCAACAGCGCCACGCTTTGATCGCCTTCTCTCAATAGAGCCAGAATTTTCTGCAACAGTCATGGGGATGCAGTCTCGGAGAGGCGACGAATCATCTCCAGAAGACGCCAACAGGCACTTGCTGTCCGATACGTCGCTGGGACATGGTGACACCGATGATGATGATGATGATGATGATGAAGAGGAAGAGGTGGTGGTGTCATTACTGGCCAACAGACTGGCAGGGTCAAAAAGCTCCGCCTCCCGGGGAGTAGCAGTAGCCAACTCAGTCTGCTCTTCAAATACAGCCTCCTCGATCTCCTGCAACATTTGACTAGCGGTCTGTAAGAGTAAAAAAGTGATTGGTAAACGGGAAGGTCAAGGGATAATTCTCATCAACCTCCAATCAGCTCTAAAAGGAACAAAATTATTTTAATTTATTTGATTATATAACAATTCGAAAATTAAGCTATAAAGAAACAGTCTCCAGTCAAGTGCACAAAAGTTTAGACTCATCAAGGAAAAAATCAAATCTAAAGACTTAAAGAAACTAATTAAACCTTCTGACAACATACAGCTGAAAAATAGGACTATAGATTAAAATACGAAAGAACATGGGGCAATAGCTAAATGAAAGCTCAAAGGGACTCTAAAACTATGCTAGCTAAGCTTTTGTAACTTGTTCATATCTACA